ACTTAAAGAAAATTGTTCAGTTATCTTCAAGGATTACTGCTCAATCTTCTTTTAATTAATCTGGAAAAGAAAAGGGGTGGGGGAAAAGTTACAATTAAATTTGTTCCAGAGGCCAAAGAGTCCGTTTGAAACCAGCTTATATATATATATATATATATATATATAGTTCTTCTCTAAACACACACTTCAGCATGGAACCAGTTCATTTAATATCCAAGTACAGCAATCTGAGTACTGACTTGAAATCAGTCCTGCTTCAAAATCAGTTGTACCTGTACAACATAACCTGCAACTGGACAATATGAACTTATGTAACAGCCACAGGCCAGGAATTTCAAAGAGGTGCTGAACCTTTGGAATCTGCAAAGAGCCAATTACTCCAAATTACAGTATCAATTATTATCTTCATTGAGCTTCAGAGCAAATCACTGTCTTAAAACTCAACTGTAACCAAATTTGCCTCAAAACCTTAAGGACACCAAATCTTAGGCTCCAGCCCAAGCTCCAATATGTTGCCGTAAATACCTTCCAGTCACCTAATTCACATCACTCATTTCTTCTGTGAAGGGCAGAGATTATTTCAAGACTAAACACTTGTGGAAAAATTAGATTATTAAAATGAAACATGGTTAGCTTTCCTTTGCACAGATCTAGTAAAACTCCATGTAAAAGTGCTGAAAAACAATGTTTGAAACATTTGAACACTTAGCCTATAACTAGGAAAATATATTTATAAATCACATCAACAAACTGAATATTTAAAAACTCAAATCTTATCACCCAGGAAGTCAAACTCTTAGACTGAAGATATCAGCTTAGCGTCCCAGATAAATCAGTAGAAGAAATACTACATATAAGTAAGTTTTACATTAATAGTTAAGTCTAAAATCTTTTCTTTATCGTAATTTTTTAAATGATTCCTTTCTTCAAGAAAAACTTTTGACTACTAGAACCATAAATACTTCAATTAATCTATCTCTTTGGTTGTTTCTAACATTAATCAAGTCTTAATACCCAGGTAGAGATACAATGTCAGTAGTACTTATTTATCTTTGAGAATTGCCATCTGGACCCCACCAGAATTGTTTTGGCTAGCTATTACACAACTTGCAAATGGAGAGAACACCAAAGTATAAATTATACTGAGTCCTAGGAAACACCATATTCAGTTACCAAGGAGCAGCGTTCCTGGCAAGAAGTCATGATTTGAGGGAAAAAATAAACCAAATTCTCCATTCCCTGACTGTAGAATCTTAGAAAAACCACATGATCTCTATTAGCCCCACAGTTTTTATCTGTAAAATGGGAATAATGCCCCTTTCTTCACTTGGTTATTTGGAAGATCAATGAGAACACACACAGGACAGCACTTTATAACCTGAAATGTGTGATGCAAATCTATCCTATGGATCATAATGCTTGTCACTGCAGGAGCAATGAATTTCTTAACACACCAGTTCAGTTATATTCTAAATACATATTTCTGACTCCAAAGTAAAACACTACGCGATGTTCAAAAATGCTTTAAAGAATACACTTGCCTTGGGTTGAGTTCTCTTTCCATTTCGCACACTAAATTTCTCCTTCATTTCTTCTAAAATTATCTTCAGCTTCTTTTCTTCAGGTGTCCCTAAGTATTTCTGGTTCACATGAAGATAGCAATGCCATTTGGCTGATTCAAAGCCCCAGTGGCAAGTCCTCTTGTCAGGTGACCTGTGAGAATGCATCACAAAGGTCTGGGGTGCAAACATTCCACAGCACTCCAGGCACTGGATACAGGGAGCATCAGGTTGAACATAAAACTGGGGTGCAAACAGACCCTGACACTTGCCCAAGCATTCATGTTCCACCTCAAAGGCACTGCCAGTTTCCTTTAACTGAGCCAGTGAATTTTTAGCAGGAAGTATGCTACCATTTTGCGGGAAAGTGCGTGGCCGCAATAAAGCATTACAAAGTCTTTGTGCATCAGTTAATGTGATCAGCCCACAAGATGGGGCGGTGAATGGAAGTATTCCCAGGACCTTTAAAATATGAAGTTGGTCTGAAGTACACCTTGAACAGTAGATGTACAATTCATCACACACGGTATTTATCTGCTGAAGTGAAAATTCTCGGAGAACAGAATTTAAGACTTGGGGCAAACAGAGTCTCTTTTCTCCTCCAACCTGAAAACAAGAAATAGACTCCCCTTCCAATACAGTCTGGGTAAGCTCTGTGGAACTATCAGAAGGGATGAGCAGTGGGCCAGGAAGAACCTGCGGAGATGGAAGAGGCAGAAATACAGTAGGTGACATGCTTTCTTGCGAATACCGAGCTGAAAATGCTGCCGGTCCACCCAGAGAACTCTGACTACTTAAGTGGAATTGTGCCAAGGTATGTTTCAAACTGGGGTTTAAGTGTAAAGGTTCAGGCACAGAGGCACAGGTTCGCTTGACATGCTCTCCATCAGTCTCCATTGACACTTCTCCATAGTCATCCAAGTGTTCCTTCTTTACTGTTGGCATTTTGTTTATCATCATTTTTCCATTGACATGAATGTCTGTCATCATTTTCTTCACTGGAGGGCCACCATCATCTTCCATCCCATCCAGTTTTTTATTTGAGCCGTGAACCAAGGAAAAACTTGTCTGTAGATTTTCCATTGTTAAAAAGTATTGTGCTAATAAGTCAGTCTGAGATTTGCATTGTTACTTAGTTGTTCATTTGAGAAAAGTAATATATACTAACACTTAAGGTAAGGTACTCTCATAGAAAATTTAAATTTCCAAAGACAGCTCTCTATTCAGATATTGCAACTTTGTTTTGGTTCTGTTTATACTGTAGTAGTATTTCGCTGCAAGTGCTGTAAAATTTCTCTTTTTGTGTCTAATAACAAAGAATTTTAAGATGCACACCTCTGAAGAATTTTACTTTTAATTCGAATATACGTATTAAAATAGTTAACTGTCTCAACTCAAAATGTATGCAATTACTTGTGACATAAAACCTACACACAAACATAAGTCAAAATGCTGCACCCAAACTTAATTTTTGGCACCAAGGAAACTAAAAGGGGTAGAAAGTATCTTCTTTAAATATGATGATCTGATGGTCTGTGCTGACAAACTGAAGGCTTATGAACAAATCTTCACCACAGTATGAGCCTCTGACTTCACTTGAACTTCTACAATTAAAAATGGTAGATACTTAAAGAAAAATTGTTCAGTTATCTTCAAGGATTACTGCTCAATCTTCTTTTAATTAATCTGGAAAAGAAAAGGGGTGGGGGAAAAGTTACAATTAAATTTGTTCCAGAGGCCAAAGAGTCCGTTTGAAACCAGCTTCTTAATCTTAAACTGAGTTCACTTTATCAAAGATGACACTAGATTTCTTTATATCTAACACCAGTTCACTAGAACCTTCATTTAAATAGGGGAGCCATTTGGAGAATAGGGGAAAGGAAACAATACTATCCCTCAAAAGGTAAAGGCTACTTACAACTGAATATAGGAAGAACCTTAAACAGATCATCTCACCCAAACTCAGAACAAGAGACTTGGGTCATTTTAACTGCATTCATGACTTCACCTAGTTTAAAAAAAAAAAAAAGATTCATTTCCCCCCCCCCCTCAAATTCAAAGAGAAGTTAACACAGCTACCATATGTAACTATGTTACAACCTTAAGTGCATTAATGCATCTATTTTTCTGGGATGACTGTAGACAAATACTAAATTTCCTTTAAAAGGTTAGCGAAATTACTTAATGGAAGCCAAAAGCTCTAGACTCCACGCCTGGGAATCTCCATCCTTGAACAAGACTAATCCGGGACAAAAAGCACAAGGCAGACAGACCTCACAAAGAATGCAAATGGAGGAAGAGGGAAAAAGAAAAGATATTTCCACTTCCTTCTTGAGAGAAAATCCTAAAGAAATGCAATAAATCAAAAATGTTGCCTTTCAAACTACCAACAATTTACCTTAAAATAGACCCAAAAGGGTTAAGGACCCACGGCCACCAACCAAAGTATTGACTTTCGCCTACCACAGGAACCCCTCAGCCCACGCAAGCCAAGGAAGAGGGCAGGAGGCAAGACCTAGAATGGGGAGCCCCCCCAAACTCTGAAATCCTCCGCCCACGCAAAGGCATCCACCCATCTCCAACCCGAGCGGGCGGGAGGGAGTGAGTGGAAGACAAGGGACCCGGGACGCCTCGGCGTGCGAGGAGGTAGTGGCAACCAGAGGAAGCGGAGCACCCCCACCCCCACCCTAGCGTCGGGACTACCCCTCGAGTCCTCCCAACACGGCCCGACCGCCGAGGCCGCGGGGAAGACTGTGGAAATCCCCCGCGCACCCTGTCCCCGGGAAGTTCTCGGGTGTTACCCCGGCACCCCTAAGGCAGCACCTCCCCCCAGCCTTCCCGGGGCCAGAAAGGGGAGAGGTCCACGGGAAGGAGGGACGCCCAGGCTGGGTCCCCTTGCCGCCCGGCGCCGACCGACCTGGCCGAGCCCCCGGGCATCCCCAAAGAGCGCAGACGTGGGGGGGGGAGCAAGGGGGAAGGGGAGACGGTGACGGGCGTCTCGGTCTCCAGGGTCCCGGCGGCTCCGGTCAAGTGCAGCGCCCTTCCCCACCCGCACCCGCGCCCACCGCCCGGCGTCAGCGAGACGCGATTAGCCGCGGGACACCCACCTTGCGCACCCCCTGGTCCCGACCCCACATGGGACCCGCGCATCCGGACCCCAGACTCCGGCCTCCGCGCCCCGGGAAGCTCGACTAGCTTTGTTAACTCCCCACACGCCCGCGCCGCCGTCGGGTTCCCCCAGGGCCACGCACTCCTGGCCTCGCGCCGCTCCCGCCGACCCCACTCCCGCGAGTCCGGGCCGCACCTGTGCCCGCCGCCGCCGCTCGCTCGCTCCCTTCGGCTGTGCCGGCGCGGTTCCGAACCCCACACACATCGCTACACACAGCCCTCTGACGTCACCGAGCCCTCGGCCCGCCCACGTCACTGCGGAGACACACGGCTTCCCGCAGACGCCGCCGCCGTCTCCGGCCGCCCGGGGGAGAGCGAGGGCGGCGAGGAGGGGGAGAGGGAGGGAACCGAGCCAGCGGCAGGGCCGCGCGCGCCGGGCACAGCGAGGGCGGCGAGGAGGGGCCGCCTGGAAGCCTCGGCCAGTCAGAGGCCGCTTACCGTCTGACTCAGCGTCTCTTCAGCAGCAGGGAGCCCACGGGCGCGGGGCTGCCGAGGCGGGGCCGCCCTCGGGCTGCGGCGGGCTGCTTCCACCTCGCTGGGCTGCCGCCTGGAGGTGAGAAGTGACCTTTAAGAGGATGGACCAGATCCGTCTTGCTGACGTGCGAAATCTCCAGCCAGACCGTTTAGTTAAGAAAAGCAGGGCTCAGGAATAGACCGTCCCCAGGGGTCACACACGTGCCAGGCCGTGCTGCAGGCTCTCCCACTGCCCCAGACACACTGGCCTGCCACCGGCAGGGGACAGCCGCCTCCCCGCAAACACCGCCCCTGCCCAGTGACCACGGTGGCCGGCCGGGCCGCCCACCCTGGGGCACCCGCTCCCTGACGTCCCCCCACTGTTCGGGGTCAGAGGACGCCTGTCCCCAAGTGC